TCAATTGCCGAAAACCACCTGCTGAGACATGGCCATTTTGAGACGCGAAGAATTTTCACAAGTGCCTCGGTAGGTAGGTAATTAATCCTCATATGTCATGTTAGTAGCAATAAGCGTTTAAGTATGTGAACCCTAACGGTCTCCCTGTTATAATTTTTGTCCATTGTCCAAAAATAAAGGTTTTTGTTCTATGAGAACCAGCTCAATTATAATACTATACGAAATCCGTGTAATCGTCGGGTTTTTAACGGCTTAACTATGAGAACACTATTTTCATCTCATTGTGGTAATACGCTTTGGGAGTGTCTATAGTTTATGCGCTCATACTAGGTATTACTACTAGCGCATCTTGCAGGGACAGCTTTGACAAATGACGTTTTCATTATGCGTGTGCACGACATCGAGGAGTTCCATTGTCTCTGGCTGCCCGCTAATCGTTTCTTTCACTCAGCGTTTTCTTCTTAACACCGGACGCAGAATCGTTTTCTTTTCAATTGTGACCGGACGTTAATTGCATCCCGATGCAAGCGAGGTGGAAATAAAAAACGCCCAGCCATTGCCAACCAGCCCGGATCATTGATCAGATTACGCAATGTCGCCAAACTGGATGGCCGGCGAAGATGAGCGTTTATGTTTAATTTATCAACCATTTTTAATGTGTGCTCCTTATAGGTTTGTTAACATTGCTGTGATTTATTTGCAATAATGTTAGGTACATTTGCCGTCTAAACTCATCGGCTACTAAATTTCAAGTTAGATTCGGTAATAGTATTGATTCAAATACATAACATGACTAATAAAAGCTGATGATAGTATGTTATCTACAGACATTAATTCACCTTATTATAAATAAACAGATAAACCTAAAGCTTCATTTAGTCATCGTTTCGAAATTCGAATACCGTGTGATTCCAAGTAACCTTCTAATTTAAGGTCCTATTGTTTAGTGTTGCCTGCAATTTATTAAATTCCTATTTGGGTAAATGTGTCAGTTATGTTAGCGATGGTGTGTGGGTTGCGCAACTTCTGAGTTCTGACATAGACTAGAGATGAGTAGAGCTTTTGAGCCGTAGGTTGAAAGTTAAGGCCGAACGGTTGACAGTTATGAATACCTACCTACTTAAAACAATTCATGCGAAATAATTATCCGGTGTAGGTGTCAAGTATTTAGCTAAGTAATAGGTGAATATTAATTATACCTTTCGCTTTTGTCTTTTGGCAGCCCACACTATCAACCTTTTGAAATAATAACTGATATAATATAAAATAGGGATTTTTAAACAATTTACGCCTTTGAGTAAGTACCTTTATCTAGTAAAATTATTATGCTTCTAATAGTAAACTTTTCCCCTTTCGGAAATACGTGACATTCCGTAACACCTCATGTTGTTTGTTTTCTCATATTGATTTACGTATTTTTGTTGAGATATTTACACTCCGGTGCCTATCCAGTACTCTTGCGCATACATACACACATGTTTCATAACGTTACAACAAAATTACTGCTATACACAGTACCGTTCAACGATAAATCGGTATGTATAATAGCATACGTAATACACAGTCTTATGTTACAAAAGCAAGCTTAATGTACTTACAATGGGTAGCCAACAATTAAGTTTTTCTTTGGAGATCTATTTTAACCGTTAAGAAAAAAGTTCAGTATTTCATTTGGTACACACGTAATAGTCCTAATAACAACAACCCTACGTGAAGATCTGGTTCACGAAAGTGCACGGTTCGTACGATCATAGTTCTCGGAACACCAACGCACGAAATCTCAATTGGCTTGTGCAACACGCTTAAATAACCGCAAAATACCTTATTATGCGCTTTCCATATACGTTCCAGGCAATCTGCAGGCTCTATTACGCTCCACGCTCATGATTCTCCGTTAATTTCGAATTCCGCAGTCAAATCGTACGTTTCTTTTATACAGACAAGCACAGCTGCCAGCGAAATTAACCAAACAACAAAGAGATCGCAACTTTTGTCGCGCTAACGCCGAATTTCGTTTTGTTCCCTTTAAGAAGAGTGTCCTTTTTAAAGACATTCTTTGAAACGGAAAGCTCTTTGTCGCGTCCCGACCCGCTTCTCCTTACACAATAGTAGGTAACGTCTACTTAAAACGTTCTGTGAAGTTAGGTCAGAAAACCAATTAGCGACAGCGTTCGTTCGTCAGCTGTGTGTCTCTAAAGGACAAAATTAATAGTTATTTTTCTTGGACGGACCAATTTGATCGCGCGACCGTAAGCTATTTTTACAACAGTAACATCTTTATAGCATGTGTTGTTGTACGAGATATGTAACCGAAAAATGTGTCTTCACGAATGGTGAAAAAAGATCATGCGTGTTCGTTTCGTTCCAAATATAAATTTGTAAAATGCGAATTTAATGCAACGGCCACATCGTCGCGCTATTAAAAGACTGTTTAGGTGTTTATTTTAACACATTTCGCGTGTGTACTTACTTATAACGGCTGAGATGAAAAACATTCCCCTGCGTTTCATTATTTGCGTTATTTTTAGACACGGCTCAGCCTGCCCACTGAAACGAGTGTTTACTCTGAGTTGGCTTACTTACATACAATGTTCACATTATAACTCCTTACTATCTGGCCCCCATGAGCCACCGCACCTACTTGCGCAAAGCCGGCGTTCATATCATAGCTAATAGATGCCGTAGATCATTTTGACATAGCAATACTTTAAAAAAATATGTCCAGATCGTGAGCATAGTGCGCTGCAATTAAATTGGAAAAAAGAATTAATGTAACACGATATAGGTATTCGGAATGGTGTTGCGAGATCGTCGATTAGGTACTCGAATCAATTTGGACGGTTTTTTTGGGAGCCCGAGCAATTAACGTTACGTGCCTGTGTTACTTTCCTTACGAAACAAAAAAGGACGATCCTCACGACTGATGTTGAATGCATTAATAGTTCTAACGCTCTTTCACGAGTACCCAGTGTTGTGAAGGGCGGCACAAAAGCTTTTATTTTTATCGAATCAATCAAATCTGTTAGGATATGTTAGCCGGTTGCACGGTACCGTAAGAAAACTACGATAAAAATAAGACACAACAAAAAACTGTGGCCACCAAATACTTTTTCAATTACGCCCGATGACAAATACTAATAAAGCTTAGCACCTTTTCAATGTGAGTAAAAGCATTAATCAGAGAGCCACCGCCACGGCCTCAGATCGCCTCGGGACAAACATGACTTATTCGGTAGTAAGCATTATTTAATTGTTGGCCCCCAGGCAAGACCAAACACCGCCTGTCCAATTCTTATCTTAACTCGTCACATCTTCAAAAGTTCCACACTTGTTACCTTAATAAAAGTGTATTTGTGGGATTGAACATTCAAATTTAGATCATTACTCGATTTTGTATTTTTTTTTTAATTATTTATAATTGTTTCGAAAAGGCACTCAATTATAAACAAAGTATTCGAAAACGGTAAGCCACAATCCATCACGATTGGTGCTACAATAACTCGTTTTATAAACAATACATCAACAAAAAAGGGGATGTTTAGAGTGTCAGTGCGTGTTTTTTGGTAGTATTTTTTTCTTGTTCCGTTCCTACCTGACTTGGGCGCTGGGTGATGAGATACTTTGTCCCCTCGGTCGGGGGCAGTATGTATTCGCGTTCGTGTGTGCAGTGTACACCTACCCCCGCTTGGCAGGAAGTCGCTTGAAATCTGGCGTCTTTTTTTTACCGCATTTTTGTTTAAACTGTGTAGTTAAATTTTGACATTCACAGACTTACCGTCTGCACAGAGAGAGATAACGCCAGCCTCAATGGATCATTGTTCGCCCCTTTCGAATCGCTCAGTAAACTTTTGACGGGAGATAAGCTCGTCGTGGGAAATGAGTTAATTTAAAACAAAAAAAAAACAATTCAATTATACTTCTACTTAAAAATTTATTCATCAACCTATATGTTTATAACATTACATCCTTTAAACGATAGAGTTGATTAAACATTCAATCCGCGTAAGATTTAATAAGCACCATATTAAAAGTTTAATTAAGACTGTAATTTATTACAGTGCAGCGTTGTAAAATAAATAATCAATTGTAACGAAAGTGCACAGGAAACGTTTTTTTTTTCGTCCAGCGCCGTCGGTGTCGGCGACAAACGCACACAACGTCAATGCTATTAAGACTCCGGTAATGATTTGCCAAGACATGGACTCCATAACTTAATATCTACCACTTCCTTCCGATACCATATAAATAACGCTCCGGACACGGCTAACCTTAAAACTGTACGACGTTTTTTAATATACAAAAAAACATACATACTCTAATTTTAAACGCCCAGTAAACATAGTAAAAACTTAAGTTAAGAAAGTTATTTAAATTCAGTACATGCTCACCCGCGTTCTCCTATTCATTAGTTTTGAAACTAGTTGACCCCGCATACAATGCAACCAACTGCACATTCTTTCATTAATACAAGGGTTATACCACCCTGGAGGGCAACAAAAACCAGTTATTATTATTCATAGACTTTGAAAAGTATTCGTGTCGTCGGTTGACGACTGCTTTATCTATCAACACAAATCGATTACCTACATTTTTCATCGCAATCAGTAGTCCTGGCAACGCAAGAAAAATAAACAAAAAACTTTGTCATTTGGAAACAACTGTGCTCAATTTACATGCAGTTCTAAATTTTGAAATATAAATATGAAGCATGCGTTTTGTAATGAGCAGTGGGTTCGAATTTTAATTCAGGTTAGGGGTGTCGCCGCGTACAGTCACCCCACATGTGCCGACAACCCCATTTTTGTACGACCTACATAAACTGTGTCCAGTGAAACCGTTAATGTCTCGAGAGGATCGATGTATCGATCACACAGACAGTTGTGCAAATAGTTTGCTTAAGGATTATGATCTTAGGGTGTTAGAAACTGTTGTTTGTACTGTCACTCTACTCCACACTGATAACTTGACCAAATAAGTGATATGTTTATTTTTCTTTTCAGGTGCTGACATCTGGTTCCTTCGAACTTAGGATAAAAAGTTTTACGAACTCGTTGGGTAGGTTAAGTAGTGGCCAGTGCTGTGATGGTTCCTCAAGTAGTAGTGATGCGCCGTGTTTGGCGCCGTGCAGGACTAAATTCCGAGTGTGCCTCAAGATTTATCAAGCAAACATCGATACGACATCACCGTGTACCTTTGGTGATATCACGACACCAGTGTTGGGTGGAAACTCATTGGATGTGCCTAATCTCAACGTGCAGGGGTTTAGCAATCCCATCGTCTTCCCCTTCGATTTCACATGGCCGGTAAGTGAATTCATACATTTCATATTTATATCTCCATGCACTACAGTTACGTAAATAAAATACAACACCTCATTAATTTTGTAGGCACAAAATCAATACATCGTAAAAGAAGCATTAAGTAGCAACCCTACATCAATAAATCAACGCCGCCGAAGTTACCAACATTCAAATTCCAATAATCCACGCGGAGGCCAGTGTGAGGCATCCCATTCGCTGTGAATAATAGTAAAAAAGAAATTAAGGGATTCGATATTCAAATTTGACAGAAGCGATGACGATAAGAATACTTGATGGTTTAACGAGGGGCCGCGTGGGACGATTACAGCGCTCAATGGTTCATTTTTAATTAATTATGAAGTCGCTTTATATACGGCCAGTCTTATGTCATTAAAGTAGTGCAGGTAACCTTAATTGTTGCTACGTTCTCATCTTCAGAGAGCGATTGGAGCGAATAGGTCGATCGGGATCGTGATTCGATAATGTAATTATCTGTTATTTATTTGCAGATCGCTTTTAGATCTCGAATTCAAGAATAACGGACATCTTAATTGGAACTAAGTTACGGTTGTTTCGACCGGCGTGAATGGTCTACGGTGTACACAGGCCGCGCTGTGTGGACACTCGACGTTTCGAGGGCTATTTGTATTTTATTTAGCGGCCCGCTTCAAATGTCGTACCGTCTCGTAATGTTTGAGCAAACAATCGCTCCTAAGCTTGCACAAGCTCCGACCATCTGGAGAAAACGTTACATTCGGTAACCGGACCATACCATACTGCAGGTAGAAACTCGCGTCACTGTCAGAAATCCAGAACTTTTTTTCGGGAAATAAATTGGTAGCCGACCATCCTGTTGACGTGCCTGGATCACCATTCCGTACGAATTGGCGCTAAATTGAAACTTCCTGTTTAAATTCCCGAGTTCTCTATGACATAATGTTGATTGTTGACATGCGATCAATTGAGTGAAAGTGACGCAGAATAATCCTGTCGATCGAATTTCAAAACGATAACTTAAACTGGGGATAATTCACGCCATGTGCAGTTTGTCTTTATTAGATAGATAGGATCAGGGCACCCATCTCCCACATGTCACGTGCCATATGTCGCAAGGAAGATCTTGAACTGAAGCCCTAATAGCAAATACCATATGTATCCCAACTCTCAGATCCCTTAAAGCACTTGGCTGATGGTATCCATGCTTCTTGGAAGCTGTCGGGCTAAAAGAGATACTTTAATTTGGAGGCGAGTCACAATTGATCTTTTAGGTTGCAGTAACTATAGTCCCATTAGGACTGCATAGCCCTAAAATCTGAAATAATAATTATAGCTGGTGATACCATATATACCTTCCAAACATCCAATTATAAAGCAACTGTTATTTCTGAAAATGAACAGTAAAAGACATTGAGTTATTCAAAAACGCATGCTCACACCGTATCCGAGCACGTTAATGTCGTTCATAAAGAATTTCGCTGTAAATATTTTTTTGCTGGCACAAAATTAAAAAAATCTAATTTTAGTTACATCTTCTTGATTGCCGATAGGAATACAGCTGATCGATCTAATTTTAAAATTACCACGCTCGAAGTTGATTCAGCATCAGTAATTCGCCTACTATTGGTAGTAGCCTAAACCGACTGTTTAACTGCCTTCCTTTAAATATCCAGAACCTTTCCGGACGATCGACCCTAGGGAAAGTTGCGTAACCGTTTACTAGTAAACTATGAAGCTAAGGCCTAATTAGGGTTAGTGCAATTGCACCAACAGGCATTAATCCCTTAAATAGTAAAAAAAAAGCAATTTTCAATTAAACTCTCGGGAGTCGATAATTCGAAGTTTTCTCATAGAAGCCCAACTGACGACGTACAGCTTCATAATATTTTGAAACTTGACGCCCTCGGTCGCGTCTCGATAACCGCCGAGTCCCGTATTACGATACGAATACGAGTAATTTAAAACGCAACTGCATCCGAACTTTTTATCTGATCGGTCATGAAATAAATCGGAGCTGGCCAGCCAGCTAGGCCATCACGCCGTAGATCTGACCCGCCCGATAATAGGTCATGAGCATATTAATATTACTGACAACATCGAACAGTGAAATTGCTGGTAAAGCAGCCAAGCGCGCGCGTTAACGACGCGAACAAACTATTTATCATAATGCATTTAAAGAGAGATGGCTCACTCGTAAAAGAAATCTCATTTGTATTCAGCCGCCCGGCTCGGCTCAGCGGCGCGGTTTCATTTCATTTATTTTACTCTTAAACAATTTGTGTTTCTAAATTAAAAGTTTTATACATTGTTGAGCGTTATCCCGTTATAATAGCGAGACTGATCTGACGAATGCGATCAAACTTAGACCCGGATTATGGCTTAGACTTAGTCAGTGTCGCTATACCTGGTTCGAGAATTCTGTATTTTAAAAGTTATATTATAATCCGTCAAAACAATTACATTCGACGTCTGATTCTAAGATGTATGTAAATGTAATGGTAAACAGAACTACCAATTGGAAAATAAAACAACACTGGACCGTACGCTTACATGTAATTTTCTCTTTTTAATAGTAAAAGGTTAATGGAACAGGGGTTAATTGTAACCCGCGGATGACGAGGGGATACTATTCGCCCCGTTCATGAACGAACCCCATTCAAGTAGACGCGAGCATAACCGTTATTCGTGGACATTTTAACGTTAAAAAAAACTTACTGAGTAGTACTTACACAGTAATTCGAATGAAGAATTTTTATTCAGCACCTGCTGAATGACTGCGAAAATGTCAGAGTGTGCTTCCGAAGTGAGTCTGCGGTACGGGGACTTTTCAATTAATGCTATAATATGCTATGTCGACCCCTCTGGTTCTGGCCTCAATTGTCGTAAACGTCACTTTTGGCCAAAATGAGTCAAGTCAGTTTGGTTTAATTTTTTTCGCTCTATCGATCTTATCGATCTAAATTAAGTACTGCTGGATGATATATATAATATAGTTATAGTTAAGGATAGTTGACTGCAAAAAAACTGTTAATAATAGGCAATTTTAAATTTTGCTTATTATTTTTTTGCTTATATATCCAGTGCAGTATTGATTTTGCATCATGTTAGACCTAATCTGAGCGGGCTGCGCGAGCGCACAAAATGCTCAATGCGCTGTGCTTTGTTGACCGTGAACTATACTTTTTATGGATTACTTGTAGATCCGTATTGAGTATACTCGTCCGCTATTGTTGTCTTATCTAACCGAATGTCCATCTTATTGTGTTGTAATAAAAAACACGGCTTACAGCTATGGCATAGGTTATAGGCGCTTATAATGAAAAAAAAAATGAAGACGTAAGTAAAAACTATAATTATTATCACGCAAAAATGGTACTTGATCCTCATAAATTACACAATGGATGTGTTAAGTAAACGGAACCATAAAGTCATTCGGTATTGTCACCAAAATATTCCCTAACCGGTAAGAAATGGACCGTTTTAGCAAGTCACTTTCCCACAAGGCAGCCGAGCATTGTCGAGCTTCACAAAAACAAGGTACCTCACACACTGTCGACGACGCCGGATTAACTACGCACGTATTTTCAATTAAATTTAACTCTTTTTTTTTTGTTTCGTCAGAAAAAATGTATAGAAAGCGAACTGGCCACTTTATTTGATCATGACACTTTACTTTTTTATCTCGCCTGGCTGTTTAGTTCAATTCCTACGCTTATCTTTTAATAGAATCATTGATACCCAGTTTTCTTTTATTTTAGCTAATCACAAATAATTGCAATTTAAACATCATTCAAAGAAAATTTTTATGAATCGTATGAAAAATCTGTTTCATTTTAGGTATTCTTAGTTCTGCCTGACTGATATAATGACCATTACCTGCCTTGATTTTGCAATTTTTTTTATAAATTATTGCTTGAGTAAAAAAGCATTCCACAATAATGAATCTATTTTATTTATTAGATTGTCTTTAGCCATACAATTTTGCACTTAAATATATTTAGTACTTAAGTCATTTTTGTCTTTGCACTAAGCTACGAGTATGTTGTTTAATTTTCATTACGCCGCCGCGTGAGAGACTAACCAGCATTTTTTAAACTTAATTAAGATTAATTAAAACACAAATGCTACATAGTTATGGTCATATTTGTATCTTTATGCTTATTGTATACAAACGCAGCCGAGCGAAAAGTTCACAGCCTCAATAACGCTATGAAAATTCTTTTATACCAACAGCAACAGTGTGGTTGCTTACCCATGAATAAAGTCTGTGATACTTGTTAATTTGTTGCTTTTTTCAAATGTTTAACCGGCAAAGTGTTAAGAAAAATTGAATGGATACTCGAATTGTATTAATTTTCAATGCCGACAGTAGTTCGTGTGACATATTGGTATTTTGTTGTTCTTTCAAACAGCCATGTAAGTAATATTAATAGGTCTGTCTAACGACTTTACATTTTCCTAAGCTCACAAAAAGCTCGCTTGATTAATGTATTTGTGTCGCTTAGTGAAGAAACACGCATCTTTATTGTCGAACAAGTAGACTAAGCAACAGCGTAACTAATTCGAGAGATTGTTACTTATTTTGCATGTTTCGTAAATAGTTTCACGCTCTAAATAGTGGCATTTAAATGAAAGTATGGAAACTCCTTGGTACCACATGTGACGGCCGCTGTTAGCATCACCTTTTGTAATTAAAAATAAAAAGCATCGCAACCCAACATTCGTGGAACTTAACGTTTTGTGACGTCAGGTTATGTTTGAATTTCGAAACAATTACGCGGTAAAGCACGCAGCAGCGATCGTCTACTGTTCTAATCCATTGTCGCGCGTGTGAACACGTTTCCTACTCCAATAGCGACATCTCCATTAGAAAGTAATTAAAAGGCGCCATCATGTCGTTCAATAAAACTCCATACTCCACGAAATCGAACACAAATCCGTCGTTAGGCGCCAAATCGACCATAATCATGTTCGAATCGTAATTGAGTGCACGCTCCGCATTGTTA